CCCCCCCCCCCCCCCCGTGCTCCTCCAATAGATGGTGGAGACAGGGTTGGACCCTGTTCACACGTCCACACGTCCAAGCCACCCTGGGGCTCTGTGCACCTTGGGGCCTGATTTCCTTCCAGCGTCCCTGTGGATGTGCAGGGTGACTGGCTCCCCCTCCCAGCCCAGGAAGCTGAGCTTCTAGGGAAGGGACACTCAGGGCCCCTGGCGCAATCTGCCCACCATTTCTGCCTCCCAGGCCGGCGCGACTCCTCAGGCATCCGCCTGTACTACACGGCCACGCTGCGACGCTTCGACGCAGGCATCCTGGAGCTGGGGCTGGTGTACACGCCGGTGATGGCCATCCCACCGCGGGAGCCGGCCTTCGTCCTCAGGGGCTACTGCACCGACAAGTGCACACAGCTGGTAAGCAGGAGGGTGGAGTGGTGCCTCCGCGGCCCCGATCCCAAGCACGGGGCATCCGCAGGGCTCGTGGGGGCCAAGGGCGGCACCCACGGAAGCAGATGCTTGCATGTGACTGTTGGGAGAGCCTGCAGCCGGCCTGAGGCCCTTGTCACCCTGTCACGTCACCCTTGCACAGCCGCGGACAGCAGGGGAGACGGCTGGCTCCCGTGGAGCCCTCACCCATCTTCAGGGGCTCAGGGAACACTCCAGACAGCAGATGATTCTCTAGCCTGGGGCTGACTTTCTTTAGATAGAAAATTTCCAAGCACGCGTCACCCACTCTGTGTGACTCAGCCGAGCCCCCTCCCTCGCCACACCTCCGGGCTGTTGTCCTGGCCCTGTCACAGCGATACCTTTGTTCCTGGCATGATTTGCAGGGCAGGAGCCCTTGGGGCTGACCCTGCCTCCGGCACCCACAGCAAGGGCTGGACCCTCACTGTGTCCCACCCACCCTCAGGCCCTGCCGTCCTCCGGGATCCAAATCTTTGCTTCTCAGCTCCACACACACCTGACCGGGAGGAAGGTGGTCACTGTGCTGGTCCGGGACGGCCAGGAACTGGAGGTCGTGAACAGGGACAACCACTATAGTCCACACTTCCAGGTGGGGGCCCCCACCCCACCTGGGCCTGCCCATGGTCTCCCCCACAGCCACAGAGACTCCCGCCTGCTCCCCGGGATCTAAAGTAGTGGTGGCCTCTAATGGTGGATTTGGGGCCCAGCAGCCTGATGGGGCGTTGCCTGTAATGGTTGTCTTCTTGTTCTAATCCCACCCTTTCCCCCCAAAACACACCCTTGGCGTTCCTGGCTCCCCTGAGAGGCCAGGAGGAGCCAGAGCCCAGGGATGGTACAGCATGGTGACCACTCCGCTCTTTCTTTCCCACACAGGAGATCCGCATGCTGAAGAAGGCTGTGTCCGTCTTCCAGGTGGATGTTGGGAAGGGACAAGGTGGCAGGGGGAGGGTGGGGTGTGGGAGGAGAGGGTTGAAGGCGGGGCAGGGCGGGCCTGTGAGAGGCACATACGAAGCTGCTGGTGTCAGGCCCCAGCCTGGGCCGCCAAGCCACAGACCTCAAGCGCTTCAGGGAACAAGACTTGGGGTGGGTGCCCCCATACTCGGGAGGGGAGAACCAGGCTGGGCGGGGACACGAGAGGTCATGTGACTGGGTGTGATGAGTCCTGCACCCCACCCATGTTCGGGCGTCCGACAATCCCCTGGGAACACTGCGGCTGTGCTGTCACGGGGACATGGCAGCCCACTGGCTTCCTAAGCAATGAGCCTCGGTCCTGTACCAGCTCATGCCCCACAGCTCGGGCCCTCGTGGGGTGCCTGGGGGCTCCTGAGTGGTGCTGATCTCTGCCGTCTCTCCCCAGGGAGACGTTCTTATCACTTCGTGTACGTACAACACGGAAGACAGGAAGCTGGCCACTGTGGTAAGCCGCCTGCCCTCTCCGGCCAGGCACTGGTGAGGGTTTCTATTCCTCCACTGGGCACAGACTCCAAGCTAGCCCCACCCAGGCCAAAGCAGGGGCAGGGGTGCCAGCCATCGGGGTCAGCCATGCTGCCCCTGGCCAGCCTGGCAGGCACTCTGAGGGATGCACATGGGTACCTGCCTGCCTCTCACAGCCCACCAGGGGACAGAAACACTTGCGACAAAGAAAAGCTATGGCAGAAATTAAAAAGCAGATCAAGTAGTGAAGCAGGGCCCCCCAGAGGCCGGGCTGCCGCAGACTGGCAATCAGGGGAAACGGATATAGGCAGCCGGGCCAGGGCTGTCGGATTCTTAAGAACGCAGGCAGGGGCCAGGCAGGGCTGTGACCAGCGGCCGGAGGGGCGTGACACAACTCCGTTGGGCTGGACTGTGGATGATCCAGGTTGCAAGAGCCAGGGAGGGACCATTCTCCAGGCTGTGTGGACACCTGGCCCCCAGAGAGGGGGGCGGAGGGGGTATCGTCACCCTTCGGGGTGTGGAGGGCCCCACAATGGTCTCATCAATCAGGGCAGCTCCCAGGCCTTCCCCAGTGACGTGGGATGTCGGGACGAGGAGGGCAGTGTGGGGCTGCGTCTGCCCCACGCCCCAATGTGGCTACACGCTGTACAGAGTCAGGTCACTTGCTAATGCCCGTCCAGCCGGCCACGCTGCCCCGCACATGGCTTGAGATGGAATTCTCACACCACGTTGCACACCCATTTCGAGTGTGTAGCTGCACTGCTTGGCCACTCCAGATGCCCATGGAGTATGCCCATGGAGATGCTGGACACTGCAGATGCCCACAGAGTATGCCCATGGAGATGCTGGACACTGCAGATGCCCACGGAGTATGCCCATGGAGATGCTGGACACTGCAGATGCCCACGGAGTATGCCCATGGAGATGCTGGACACTGCAGATGCCCACGGAGTATCATTCAGGGTCACCACTCACTAAACCCTACCGCAGGCCCGATGCCATTCAGCCAAGGAACACTGGCACTATCTCCACCTCTGTTAGCTTTGTCTGGGTCTCCAAGGCGGAGCTGTTGCCTGCATCCCTCGGGTGAGGTCTGAGGCCTCAGGGCGGGCAGACCCTGCCTGGGTGGCTCCGCGGGTGAAGCACTGTGCTGTGAGACCCCAGACCTCTTGCCACGGTCCTCCCCCTCCTCGTGGGTCTGAGGTGAGGACCACCCGAGGTTGTGGTCACTAACCCGGATGCAGGAGAGTATGGTAGGCCTTGCACCTTGTTTTCCTGAATGGGCTCCCTCTGTGACAACAGCAGGTGGCCTGGGCGCTCACGTGTGGCTCCAGTCACAGGTGTGGCACTGGGGGCTGGGACCCGGGCCTTGCAGGCCCCAGGAGCTTGCTAGTGACAGGGAGGCGAGGCTCCTGCCCAGAGCAGCCCCGCGAGCACACAAGCAGGACGTCCCCACTGCCATCCCACTG